CTTACCAGGAAGGTCTTTCAGGGCGTGCCAAGCTTTTTGAAAACGGTCTTTTGCATGATATAGGGGCATGCGGGAACCACAGAACCATGGTTCAATTTTTCCTGAACGGCCCTCTGAATACCAGAAAAGGGGTCCCTAGTTCGATTCCTCGTGGTGACAAATTTTTGCATTTCGAGTTGACGTGCCAAAATTCGCGCAAAATGGAGTTAGAACCAACCAGAACAATCAGAACTCCATTTTGCGCGAATTTTGGAACGTCAACTCGAAATGCAAAAATTTGTCACCAAGAGGAATCGAACTAGGGACCCCCTTTTCTGGTATTCAGAGGGCCGTTCAGGAAAAATTAAACATGGTTCTGTGGTCCCGCATCTGCCCCTATATCATGCAAAAGACCGTTTTCAAAAAGCTTCGTCACGCCCTGAAAGACCTTCCTGGTAAGTTTGAAACTGGGTAGTGGATAGCTGCAGAATACGGTAGGTCACTTCGAATTTCCCCAAACTCGCCTGTGGGCCAATTTTTGAGTATTGATGAAACTTTATCAATGTTATACAAAATATTGAAGGAAGCAAATCAAAAATTCACATGAGTTTGAACACGTTTAACACTAGTCAATTTCAGTTAAGAATTTCTTACTGCGATCGTTGTGAATATTGCAAGAACAGAATTCTTGAAAGTGTTTATACGTGGCGCTTTATAAGATGTTTCTTCCTTAGTGATGGTCTAAGTTGCTGGTTCGCGACGGCAGCTGAGAAAATGTCTAGTTACGTTGTTAATAAGGCAATATAGTTGTTGAAATATTCGTATAGATATTCACATAGAGTAGGGATCACATGCATTTTTTTGTTGGCTTTCAGTTTTGTTTTCAATAATTTGTACGAACCCTTTGACGACAATGCGGATTTGCACGTAACGTGCTCGTGGGACCACGCCTCTTTTTGGCGCGCCAACACTCGCCACAACATTGGGCAAAATTTTCTATAAAAGCAGTTTTTCTATCAGATTTCCACCTTTGGCAATGCACCAAATATAGCTGCAGTCTTAAATTTCACATTGAACATTGCTGGCAAAAAATTGGAAGTGTCGAAGGAGAACCCGGATTCAAGTTTCTCTGTGTCTGAAAACCGTTAAAAGACGAAGAATTCCTGATTAGTAACTTATATTTAACCTAACAAATAAGAATCCCTGCACGGTGAGGGGGCTAAACGCCACATTCTAAAACCTTCCATGAGTTAGCTCTTCTTGAATAATCTGTGAATCCTCTCAAACATAGACATTATGATGCCTGCTTATAAATAGAAAAATGATAAAAAAATTTTCAAATGTGCAAAGAACAAAATTTCAAGGTGACACCCAACATTTGGTGCCATTGTCCCACGCGATGGACAGAGTGGCACCCACCGGTGGGTGCCATTGTCGCCAAAGTTAACAAAGTTTCATCAGTACTCAAAAATTGGCTCAAAAACAGTAGTTCACTCAAATTATTCCACTTGCTTCGTTTTGCTTGTTGGAGCTGTCCAGAAATGTCAGTATTCAGCGCAAGCAATTAAGTGGGGTCATCCCACAGGCAAGTTTGGGGAAGTGCGAAGTGACCTACCGCACGCTACAGCTATCCGCTAATTACGCTACCGCACTTAACACCTTGACGACAGCGCGGCAACTAGGTTTGCCGCGTTTTGCACGCCGCAATGGACATTGTGGCAACTATAGTTGCCACACCCTTTACATTCAGTTTTTTCTTGAACGCGCCATTTCTTCCCAGGTTTTTTGTGTTCTTTTTCTAGGCCATACCACAACATAACCAAGAACCACGCGGCTTATAGAATGACCAAATATTCTTTAGTTTGGCAGAGGTTTTTCGGACCGGACGAAAATATCCGTTCAGTTCATTCCTCATTTTCTCTTCATTAACACGAACATGTAGATAAAAAAGAATATTAGAAGTGAGTACAAAGCTACTCGTGTGGCAAGATATGTGTTTTTACCGAAACAACCACGTCCAAAATAATTTTGAAATCACTAAAGCAAAAGTAAGTGAAACTTGCCTTTTCAATGCTGTAACACATCATTCGACCGCACTTTCACATGTGTACCTTCCAATAAGTTTGACACACCGAATATCAGTGAAAACATTTTGTCGCATCGAAGTATTGCGTATTTAAAGCTCAAAATCCACAGATTTGTTGTGAGGCGGCGGCGCTCGCAGAACCGCTCTGGTCCCACGCGGCCAAAAATGCCAAAACGCGCGATGTCGTCAACGTGTTAATTTAACTAGTACACACACACCCTCAAAAAGTTCCTATATACATGGTATTCTTTTTCAATCTTTATTATTTGAAATAATGGCTACCGATGGCCACACGTCCCGACACTCCCTCCCCTAAAAATGGCCACAGGCCACTTCTCTGCTCAGGGTAGTTGTTTCGCACTGGTCGAAGATGTCACCTGTAGCTTCTATTCATCCCTTGCACCTTATATTCAGATAGAAAAAGCGATCGCGTGGCTGTCGTCAACGAAAACCACTTCGTTCGAAAGACCGGACACAGAAACATGCTGTAGCCCCGTTACCCCCTGTTCGCATATGCCTACCGAATTCCTACTCTGTGTGGCGGCATGCGCCACGTGGTGGCGCACGCGAAAACCTCTGTCGTCCGTTACGTGTGAATAACATATCGCAGTTTCCAAACTGATTTCGCAAGGAGAGGAAAAGTGTGGCATGCAACGCCTTATCACTGCGGCTGTGGCCTCTACGGTGAGACAACTCATACGTCGATGAGTTCGGTAACTCGTACACTGAATACGAATCTACAAGAATTTAATGAACTGTAACTTACCTGAACTATTCGGAGAAAAACTTCTTGCAGTATGACTAGAATTTCTGCAGTGGCAGGACCGCGGCCAGTAGTTTTCTGCTCAAAAATGTCTAGTATGGCTGCCAGCCCTTGTGCATCTATTACCAAATATGCACATAAATGAGGAGATAATGCTGATAGCCTATCTGTAAGAGCTGTTTTCAATTTCCTATTTCTCTGCTTCCAAAGTAAGTATAGAATTGGAACGTACTCAAGATAAATGCGCCCACTTTCGATACATACATTTTCGGATCAAACAGCATATCAACTGCGGCGTGAATCCTTAAAGTCAATGCTAATGGTAAATGAGTAATTGATAAATGCAAGAACAACTGCCTCACTTTTCATGAACGGGACGAGAGCTAAGGGCAGCATTGTCCACCACGTCACTGGGCTCCTCAGCTGCAATATTTCCTCGGTATGCGTTCATGTAATTGCGCCTCTCTTCAAGATGTTTCTGAAGGCCTTTTCGCTCGCGGCAACCCCTATACCACGCCTGCAAAAATTAAATCCCAAAGCATGTCATACCATTCTTTGGAAGTGTTTTTACCTGGATTTTCACAGCAGCTGACGTCTGGTCGGCTAATGAGGGCATGTAACGAGCTGTTGTGGTCTTGAATTGAAAGTAATTATAACCTAGCGCACTATTACCATCTTCATGGAAATGCTTTAGAACAATGAATTCAAAGAACATTTTAACATTTTTGTCGTCACCTACATTCATTTTGGAGAGAAACTGAAATCGAGATGGAATTAATATGTTCCCAAAATCTGAGCGATTTTATAATAAAAAGGGAGCCCTTTGTAAGTAAACACAGAGGATGTCCATGATGCAGTGATGAAGAAACAAGAAAAACGGCATAGAATCGGAGAGGCAGGACCCCCTTCACCGTCCCTTGATTTCCGTATTGGGGCGATTAGCATGGTGTCAAAGTAACAACCTGAACAACATGCTTTTCGCCTATGCCTCTTTGCTTAAACGCTAGTGTCCAACGGCTAATTCGCCGATATGACTCTAAGCCGCGGGACCCCCTCAAAAATAAGATTGTTAAATTCATCAACTCGCGGTTCGCCAGCGGAAGAAATTCGCCCCGCAGCGCTCTAGTGAGATCGTACACACGGCGCTGCCCGCCCTACAACTGGCTAACCCCTCGTCGGGATCTAGTCGTGGACACTAACCGTTTAGCGGAGAGCATAGTGAAGAGGGGTGCGTGACAATTAATCGTCGAGGTGGCTAGGTCGCCGAGCCAGCCGCTGTAGCCCGCGATGCGACGGCGGCCGTGGCTAGAATTTAGGGTTCTAGCATTTGGGGAATAAGGATTAGGCGAATTTTTCCAGTCGTAAAACACGGTATATGACCACCTGCTCCTTCAAAGTCCCTTGCTATGATTTACAAACTTATTCTGTCATAACACTGTTCGTGCCTTCCTCACCGTTCCACTTAGTCTTGCACGCAATTTTCCGATGAGCAATTACCGCTCTCTGCAGCGCGTGCATTATAAACAGCAGTCCATAATTGCGTTCAGAGGACAACCTTTACATGGCACAAGCTCTGTACACTATAGATTGTATGACTGTGGAGATCTTAAGGTGACTCTTGCTGGCTCACTGATATCCGAAACTTTGGTCTTACCAGTTCTCTAACCCCATTAGCAACTTATGCACAAGGACCGTTAAAAAAAGACCTATACAAAAAAACGCAGCACCAGTCGCCACGCGCGACGTTGGCCGCTGCGTGAGCGAACGAGGACCTTGCTGAAATGGAGCTTTACGTGAGCAAAACCTGGAGAGTAACTCAGCCGAGCAGAACATCACCAAGATTATGGAAGCGTCACAAAATCCCATGTCTCCAATTCGCTGTGGAAAACGTCCAAGAGATTGGGCCGTTGACCGTTGTGTTTGGAAGCGACGTAATTTCAGCGGAAGATCCTCTTATGGCACAGGGTTACCTTGCGCGACTGAA